CTGGAAATTGAGAACTTAACCAAGCAGTAAATGTGTTTGAAATAACCGCAATCGAATGACAAACTGCCAATAGCGAGCGAGATAAACAAGTGATTTACTCGCTTGTGATTGGCCAGTTTGTCATTCGAGTTGCGGTAATTTCAAACATCATTTAGCTGCTTGGTTAAGTTCGCAATTTCCAGAAGCGTTTTATCAAGTCAGGTGCAAAACTGACAACACATACTATTACAGCTCAGGATAGAAATGATATACCAGAGGATTTATTTTCTAAATTCAATGAATTCATCTCATATCAAGATCTAAGGACTTCGCAGGAGGGTCAAGAATACGAACAATGTTCTGAAGAGGTGATAACTTCATGCAACTTTAATTATCGCTTGACTATTATTTTCAGCGATCCTTAAATAAGTGTAAGATACACAGCGGTCTGGTTAATCATGATAAAAACTGCATAGTTGATGCAGCATATATGTATACTTATGTACATGTAGGTGTACCTACATATACTGTATTCTTGTCACGAAGATCGGAAAGCAGGTATCAAACGTCTCAGTAATCAGTGTAATACATGTAGGCTACATGTTTTTAGTTGACATAAACTGGATCTCCATTCACTTTCAGAATTAATCGTGAGTTCATTTGGGATAAGCTAGTTGACCACATCAGTATTGCGAGAATACAGTGAAGGTAAGTAAACACCTGCTTCATAAGATTAAGTGATACATTTAATTGATATGATTGTATTATTAGTAGTTGTCTATCCAAGTTAATGATAAATTCGTTGCGATAATAATACCTATTATTGTTTTTATAGTCACTATGAACATGAACGTTATTATTATTGCTGTCAAGACTCTTATTATTTGTCACAAAGCCGTTACCATTTTTTATTAAAGGCTTTGTACAAGCTTTGGGAACTACTGCATAACTTGTCTTTAAATGATTTTATCATTTCATGGTGCTTCGATGGACCCACTAGATATCGACCAACCGTAAATTGCGAAGTCCCTTAAGTTTAGTGAAAACTATTTAGATACTTATATATATTGTTTGTAAAGTGATTACTTGTAAATGCTTATCAAGAAAAATTTTTTATTCAGATCATACATGTACTACCTAAGTTAATTATGCTTTTCTTAAAACTTTTCAGACTTATGGAGAAACATATTTGTTCTGTGTACGCAGATGGAACCTACTGACAGTAACGGAGGAATACTCATCTGAATTATCTGTACATCTGAAATCTAATTTTTGTTTAATAAACAATTTTCAATGAATCTGCGTTCCTTCTGCTGTAATGCGATTGTGTTCCAGTAACATTAGTAACACGCGCTGAGGTAGGAGTTGAGGGTAAAACGTTAGGAGTAAATGCGGTGTCCGGAAAACTTTTGTTTACGCGATTAGATGAACAGATAGCAACGTACCGTGTTCTGTGGCTGCGAACCGTAGGCATTCTGTTTTTAATTATTACGATAACCGTAGTTGCACTGAGTTATAAATCTAACAGTATAGGTACAGTCTATCCTTATGGTACATTGCGGCACGTAAGAATCACAAGCGAACTATCTCAGGTAGATTTGTTTTCACTTTGTGTCCATGAATAGCCTGTAGACATCATATGATCAAATGACCTACGGCAGTATACAGGCTCCCGCAAATCACCTGTGCCTCGAATTAACTGGACCAGGGAAATACCCACAAGACAAAGCAGATGGCGCCTCTTCGAAAAAGGGACATACGGTATAACTGCCCCAATATTTCTTGAATTCTTGATGTGCTACGTCGTCTAACTAGTTAGTAGGTTGTTCCTTTAAAAACTGAAGTAAAAAGCAGCAACCATGTAAATTTACCATAAACCAAATTTATGTAATTTAAATAATAATAATTTATATTTCGTATAAACTGGTGTTTACAAGAAATGCATGCCATTTCAATAGCTACTATCAGTTGTGTTATAAATTACAATCGTGAAGTATTGTGAATTAATACTTTTCAAAAGTTTAAATTGTTGAATTATTGTACAAATAATCAAAACGGGTTCTTACAAATGTTAAATTGTAAACCCGTCACTGAGGTCACCATCAGAGTTGAGCGACAATCCCAAACTTCATTCCGTTTCATGCTGATAATTATGGTCAGTCAGTGAACAGCGTATATTTGGGTAAGTGCTATGCCGCTACTTGATTAAAAGCTATTTCGGTAAGAGAAGAACGTCCTGGGAAACTGCAAAATGGCATAAATTACAATTATGAATAATGCATCATTGAAAGTACATTTACAAGATAAATACAAGAAAGAGCTGGAGACTCGTTGGAATGATAGTATACCTTTGCAAGGTTTAATGTCAACCATACTGGTCTCACCATGGAAACTGTGACGTTTAGATGAAAATATAGCTTTGCTCAAACACTGTTGTCGTTGTGCTTCTTTTCACCAAAGCAACCAGACTTTAAGCAAGCAACGAATATGAATAAAAGAATAAGTTTCAGCTTTAATAAAGGCCTAGTTAATTAAAATAAAAACAGAGTATAATAGGGCATAAATAAAAAGATTACCGTAAGGTAGATAAGTGATATTTCAGTGAGAAATGAATTCGAAGATCTGGTAGGTTAGAACCCGTAGGACAAGATGAACTGTGAGATGTCGCACGAATTTCTATAGGGTCCGTGGGGTAGCATCTTGACAAGAAGCTGAACAGGCTTGTAAATGGCAGGAGCAAAAGCATTTTTTTATAATTTAGATCTGTACAACCCTTATTGTTTTTTGTTAAGGATCCAGACTAATGTTTAATTCTCTAGCTGTCGAAAATGCATGTTGCTGTCCTACAGATCGGAGCGATTCACATTTGTGACCACTGCCATATCTGCTGATCAGCATGCGCCACCCTCCCCCCTTGCCTGTAAAATTGGTGTGTTCCTATTCAGACAGGAGTAGATATATTTTTACTACATAAGACACCACATCTATACTTAGTTTGAACGAGCGCAACTGGTATGGGAGCAAAAACAATGGATTTCTGAATCAGTATTCCGCACGAACTAGCATAAAGTTATGAAAATGCAATTTCATATGTTTAAAACTCTGAGGTCTACTGTCTAGATATCATTATGAATCAACACCTATTGATACAGACTAGCAAGAATACTGAGGTTGTCCATACAAACACGCTATCAAATATCTAACACACACCACTTGTGTTACTGTATGAACACAACTTCGTCACTAGGGTAAACTGTAACTCCACTTGCACATAAGTTACCTCCCAAATCAGTTTAACTCCCTTTCGCCTCCTTAATAAGGTAGAACTAAAGAGGTCAGTTACAATCTGAACTTCCTCAGGAAGTTGGTCCTGTATAATCTTGTATAGCAAGGAATAGTGTAATCATATCGAACGTTGTGTCCGGTCGTTTTAAAGGCATTTTATCGATTTTTACTCAGCTAGCATATCTCTTGTACCATTTGCCATGATATATACGAGAACACTTCGCAATTACTTTTATCTTTACCCAGCATTTGCGATTTTCTGAAGTCCACTTTAGATCGTGTTAGGCGACAGTAATGCCACTGCAAACAATCATGATTATACCCGGGCGTCTGTAAATGGCACCAGTGCAATAAACTTGCAAATTGTTGCCATTGCGGTTGCTGAATGTGTGCATAATCTGCTTCACAAGAGCTGGATAGAAATCAGCGAGGCACGGAAAACAGTGTAAAGCCTTATTCTTTAGATACTTCAAGGAAATAAGAATGGTTGAGCGAGCTGAGTGATGTTGCATGCACTGTTATAAAACTTCATGGAGTGGTGGTTCAAGGAAGGATGGCCTATTTTATGTAGTCCTTCAATACCACTACGTTGAAATATTGGCACATCCCTGTAAAAATATTAGGCAGAGGGCTAGGCAATAGTAACATTCAGGCATACACCACTCGGATCTTCCATCGTACATAAGGCTTGGGATGACAGAAATATAAACTGGGGTAGGTAACTGGCAAAGACTGTGCAAGTCGCTGACATGTGTTAGTCCATACAAAGCCAGTTACTACATATGCAGAGTACGTATCCTTCACTTTTACAACATTCTGGACTTTCGCCTGCAATAATGTATCTTCGAGGTTATGTTTGTTATCTAGGTATCTAAATTTTGCAATTATGAAATGACTATACCAGCGATTATATCAATAGCAGGATTCATGAAGCATGGATTTCAGTATAGTGGGAGTGATCGTTCAAGCTGGGTACCCAGATATCTGTTCATCTTCACTCAGAATGAACTAATGAATGTGTTTTTAAGTACCATCACTGTACGTTTAGGAGACCATATCAACTTTGGAAAAGGCGAAGAGGATGTTCAAGCATGTATTACTGAAGGCAGAACCCACAGGTTCTGGAAAATTATCAGGTGGAATATCAAAGTCACAAAAACAATGACATGCTCAACAGATTAACTGAAATAATACCGCACTTTATGATGATTTGTGTGTTGCGATAAAACTGATTTCATTCAAAATGAATACAGAATATAATGGAGGAAAGTGTCTGTCCCTTGTTCATTTATTATACGACTCTAGATGTACGTAGAAGTCAGTTTAATGTGCTCGGGAGTTTTATTAAGAGGTGAAGGAGGGAGATCAAGTAAGCAGACTCTATATTATCTGTTTACGATTTTCCAGATAAGGAATTGCCGGTGGCATTTTACACTTAGCCTTTTGTTGTTTTCTTGTCTATCTTATTTAGATGGTTGGTGAAAGATTTAAGTTTCTTTTTGGAGGTTGTCTGAAACAATGTAATTTTTAGCAGCTACTTTAAGAACAACCTAAGGTCAGTTGAAGGTGAAGTAAGAGCGTCATTTTGATTGTGAAGGACACATGAGGCCCAGATGAGTAGGGTTTTGCGCCTGGATGGAGAGTTATTAAGGATAACGGTTAACGAACTATCCAAAGTGACAGAACTTAAAGGAATACCGGTAACATCCAATAAATATTAATTGTTTGTATTGCAGTGGTCGAGGTTTACCGAACTAAATCGCATTCTCAAGGGTTTCCGTACACATGAAATGACAGTTCTCTCTGGAAATACAGGGGTTGGTAAAACGACTTTCCTGTGTGAATATTCTCTTGATCTCGCGGAGCAAGGAGTCCCTACATTGTGGGGTAGTTTTGAAATGCCTCTTCGAAAAGTGTGCAAGACGTTAGTGCAGCAATTTGCTGGGTGAGTCAGTGACTTTTGGCAACTAAAGTCCATATAGTGAACCGCTAGATCCGCCTGTACCTAGTAGAATCGCAGATTGGGCACGCATGTTTAGTCAAAATATTCCCATTTATTTCATGAACCTGCATGGGACTCAAAATGTAGCAGAAGTATTGAAGGTGCCTAACATAACTTTTGCCTTTTTATGTACAGTTTGTGTCTACATATTTTATTATTATGGTTTTGTTACGTTTTGTACATTGTGGACTTAAGGTTTTTGTTGTATTGAATGATGTGATTCTCCCCAAATAACTAATACTCAGGGAAAGATTGAATGTTAACCATATTGTCCATCTCACCTCGAGTACGCCTTTAGATCTCCTTTTATTTTTCTGACTTTTTGCCCTATATAACATTGTAGTTTTATGCTAGTTTAAGGAGGATCACTCGTAACTAGTTCCAAAACGATTACTTTAATTTTATTCTACAAAAGTGAAGATTTTGCAAAGATTTTAGTTGTTTTATTTATTCTATTGGATCACAGCAACTTGAATCGAAATTATAACTTAGATTAAAATGAACCCATGCTCACTATTACTTGCTGATTTCACAACTATGTTGTTGATAAGACCCTAGTTTAACACCTAGATTTGCTATCAGTTTTGTAGCTGTTAAACTGACAGCATATAAGTATGAGCTCCCCTAACCCACCGTTTCCCAAACACGTCACCTTGTCTATTGTTTATGTATGTGATGTTGTAGCTGTAAAGATCGCCTGTTCATTATTAATTAACATTGATGAAGGATATCAACTTCACTGTACTCAATCATTATGGACATCCTTTGGTTACCGTTTAATCTGTTTTCTTTCGTCGTTGAATCAGTTTGAACCGAACTGTTTTTAGATGTTCTATGAGTTGGGTTTGCTTCATTTTTGTCAGTCTCTTCACAAAGCTGAGCATGATAGTAATATTCTTCAGGGTGGATAGAATTTTCCTGCACAACTGAACGTTTATTTGGTTGCGTTATAAACGTAGATTGTATTTCATCTTCAAGCTGAGCTAATAATGGCCTTAAAGGCGTATTTTTACATAACTGATTATCGGTTTATTCTGTTGAAGTTTCTGGTTTTCAGGTGGGACATTATCTCTTCTGTTTAGCGAAATTATTGCTGATATTAATGGTCATTTAAACATTTTAGTGATAAGCAGTCAGAATTATCGATCCTATGGGTTCGGATTAGCCTTTTTTAATTATGCGTTGAAGTCATCTACTACAAAATTCTTTCTTCTCTAAGGAACGAGATAGTTATGAAGATGTTGCTTTCATTTTCATGTTTGTGCTATATGTAATGGGTCGTCACTGTTATCACTGTCGACAGCTTCTCCTTTGAGTTCACACTAGGTCATTTCAGGTGATTACCAAATAGCATCATATTACACTTAATTTCCAACCCCACGGAAACTGGTTTGAAGCCCTTCTATACTCTCAGGGTGAATTCTAAAGGCTATTGGCATTGCTCAGATAAGGCCAAGTGAATAACGTTATGACGGGTTACTCGTAGCACCAATACTAGAGTTTTAGACAGTGCGTCCTGCTGTCTAATTCAGTATGATTTGCAGTTATTGAGTTTTCTTTAAATACTTAAATTACGGTTTGAGAAAATTAGAAACGTTATTTCACCAAATCCTAACAGTTAACATTAGTTGAGGAGCTAAAATGTTAAATATACTTCAGCTGTTAACAGAAAGATGGGAAGATAAGAATCGGACCTGATTAAAAATACTGAATTGCTGCTAGATGTTTTCAAATGCTTAGAATTTCACTGTGCACATCCGTCATTAATACTTGTTTCTTTTAGAAGTTCCTAAAGACGAAGTACTTTTAGTAATCGCTGGTCCACTGACTTTTAGACATGTCCAGGCAGCAGTTGTTCAAAAATTTAGGTTTAGTGATTGTATAATTCTCAGTAATAATCTCGGATAGTATGCTGTTCTCAAGGTTAGGTTTTTTAACCTATTCTGAAGATTACCTTAGAATAACAATGAAAAGATTTGTGTTTTCGGATGAGGATGAAAATTATTTGGTGTTCTGCTAGCTTTTGTGCCTCATCACCGGGTTTGATGATATATTCAGGACTACAACGCCTTCAGTGTTTCCTTCATAAATCAATAAAAATCCTACTTTTCGATACTGACCAGATAGTAATTCCAGCTGGAGTATAGTCCAGCAAATTGTAATTCCATGTTCATTATAACTTAGCTGATTATGCTATAGATCTGTAAATCGACTTTTTTCAAACTCGTCCATATGTTTCACATAAGATTGTCTTGTATTTTTTGTTGAAATATATCAGTTATCAGGTTAGATTAGTTTAAAAATAAAAGTCCACGAATGGTTTATTTTTTGTCAGGTTTAAACAATGTGTTTCTAAAGGCAACAAGACTAAGTATTCAAGGTGATTGTTTATTATATTTTAGTTCCAATGTGCTGAAAGTTTATTGATTTTTAGTGATATTATTGTAGGTTATTTTTATACTGGGTTGGATCCATCAGTCGTTCTTATTGGTATATGAGCTTCTGTGATAGATGTGTAGTTATCACTTTGATAATATTTTTTTTCTCCCTAATCTGTCTGTCTGTCTGTTTTCGACCTAAAACTTTGCACTTATGTACGGCAGTTCAAGTCGCCACACTCCATGTAGCACACAAAGCAAGAGAAGAAAGTAGGAGAAACACATATTAGAGACAGTAAACAGAGGTGTGAGACAAAGGAATAGTAATAACGAAGAACGATATAGTTTCATTGGGTATTATAAGTCACAAGGAGTGGATGCATCTGCGCCACTGAGAACGATTTTGAGCCATGTCACCAATTGTTTCTAACCATTGGTTTTTACCGTCCCGAGGACCCCAACCAGGAAGTCTACACCTTCCTACATGGCTTAGACTAACTGTTGTGGATTTCATTGACTGGTGTCATGTTTTCGTTTGACCCCCGCTAGCTCTTTTCCAGCCTGACCCTATATCAGCTAACATTGCCCGTCGAGGAAGGCGATGACTAGGCATACGTAACACATGTCCCAACCATCTCAGTCGATGTAATTTCACAGTCTCGTCGACTGATTTCCCCGCCTTACCTAGCACTCGACGCCTAACCTCAATATTGCTCACCTTATCATACCACTTCACGCTGGAGATAGAACGCAGACACCTATGATCGAACACAGCTAACTTTTCATGTCTTCTGTTCTCAATGGCCATGTCTCACAGCCATAAAGGAGGATGGAGCGGAATTGTGAGCAATACACACGCCCTTTGGTCTATAGTCGGATATCACGTCTACGCCAGAGACGGCCTAATATTATCTTAGGCACTGAATACAGTCCAGTTAAATCACAAAAAGGTATATATTTTATACAACTGTCAGATCTTGGTTCCCCCCCCCATTTTCAGTCCATTATTCAAGCTTTCTTGGATCTACTAGTCATTTTATTTTGGTGTAATTTCACTGTTCACTGACAACTTGATTTGTTTATTTTCAGTTGAATTTAGGCTATCTTTTTATTTCTCGTCGATAATGTATTTATGGGCAATTGACTGTGTACTTGGAAATGGGTTTTTTTCATTCCCTACAAAATACTAGGTATTAATCGTATCGTTTATTCAATGGTGGAATGCTTGGCAGTCTTGCGCGGGGGTCTGGGTTCTATTCCCGACCAATGCATTTCTAAGTCTCATTTAGTCTACTAGGCTGTAGCCAGTCCAAAAAAGAAGGAGGATTGGGTGTGAGGCCATAAGCAAACAATATCACAATGGAAATTTCAAAAGCTTAATGCCCCATATTCCAATCTGAATGCAAGAATGTAGGAAGTATTTATAACTGGCTCCCTAAACATTCCACAATTTATGCTTACACTACTTATAAGTAGCATGAGGCATGTCATAGCATTTTTAAGATAATTACAAGTTTCAGTGATATTAGAATGGTCACTCCAAACACAATCGACCTAAACAAAGAACTGAATTGAACGGACGCAATGGCCTTGATCAACCAATCAGATGAGCCCTTAGTAAATACGCGTAGTTTAAAAATCTCTTCCATAGGCATCAAATTCAGTGTTAAAAAAATAGTTATTCGAGGTAACTCTCTCGTAAGTGTCCCAGGAAAACTTAATTCCCCTTTTGGAGTCTTCAGTGATAGTGCAAACCTGTTTCCGTACATAAGTGTATCCAAATAACTGTATATCACTCTGTTTCGTGACCTTAAAAAAGGAACGGCATATATTCGCAGACAGATTTTCTGTAACGACAGGCTGGACATGTGTACACAGATCCATCAGAAGCGCCTGCATATCTCTGTAAAGACATTACTCCTTTACATCTTAAAGCTTCCTATAAGCCTATTATCCCTACAGTACTCAAATAGTACCACTTAGTGGAATTTGCAACGTAATTCACGTACTGCATCTAAATTTTCGTGTCTTTAGTATGGTCTAATCTGATCGGTCGATCAAGGTCATTACGTCTGTTTAATTCGATCCTTCGTTTGGGTCGCCTATGTTTAGAATTACCATTGTGTTCTAAAGTATGGGACTTAGATTGTGAATGCTTTCCAAATTGTTGGATATTATTTAATATCATAATATTTTTAGTGAGCTGTATCATTTCCGATACACAACAGTCGAATCAAAGTCGTCTTCTCATCAGTAAACGTTATTCATATCTTGTTGTTTGAGTTTTTATACTTATAAGTGTAAACCATCTGTGCAAAGTGAGTGGGGAAATACAAATTTATTTCAGGCGAAATTAGAAATCGATGCAAGTTGGAGAACCATTAAAAACCAGAGAGTAACAGACAGCTGTTGCGTCTTAGTTTGGGACTTTTCAACAGAACGCCCTGACTCCTTTGGAAAATAGACCTATTTACTGTTGAAATAAAACTAACAAATGGATTAGATTTAATTGAATTTTAGATTTTCCCGTCGATTGATTGGACCGAAGTGCTCGGTCTCAGGTTGACATGTCGGCTTTTTGTGCAGATGCTTCGACGATGTCTGGGCATGTAATTAGAATTTAATTTGCGGATGGTAACTGGCAGCGGAATCCAAGATGTGCGTTTTGTCCTATTTGGGACTCGTCAGCCAACTGGATTTCCCAGTGAGTGAGTAATGATGTT